GGGGGGGGACGCGGAGAAAATATGCAGAGGCGTGATAAAGTGACGCTAATTATCCCCATTTAGGACAGGGAGTGCAAGGGATCGGGGCTTTGCGAGCAACCGAGTGTGCGCTGGAGCTGATGGCCTCCTAGCACGGAATATATCGGTGGCTACAAGATAAGAGTATAGCACGGTGGAGAGATTTATTGGCCGGTCAGCTAAACACACGCGCGCGCACACACACACACACACACATGCGCGCACGCACACATTTACACCAGCAACCATCCGCTGCCACATAGCCTGCGTGTATACGTTGCACCCTACACTTACCGCTCTTCCAACCTCAAGGTGTAATTTATTCGGGTTAAATTTGCCAGAACGCTCCTCTTTTAGCTTGGCGATGCGCCGTGACGCGCTCCGCCTCTCCGGGCTTTCAGTGTTTAATCCGCATCTCTTCACATCAACAGATAAGATGGAAACAGATGCAAAATACGTGAGGAGGCCATCCCCCTGCCGCACGCTGCGCGGTGGAGTGCAGAGAGATGTCTCCATAGATGCAGGTTCTTTTAGGTGTTTTTTTTTTTTTTTTTGAATTTAAACTCATTTCCAGACATTGTTCCTCTGATTTCTTTCAATAGATTAACGCGCAGCCAGACGTTACACGCTCTACTATGAGGCCTAACAGGTTTAATTGACATACCATGCAAGTCTTCATCAGTGTGAAATAGGCCCTTTAACTATGTATTTGAGATTAATTGATTTTTTTAAATGCCTAAGTAGGCATAAATTTCCCTCATTTGCATGTGTATGGCTATTAGCCTGTATCTACATATGAGGCATACAGGCAACAAAAATGTACATGTCAAATCCAGATGTGGCCTATCAGAAAACCAAGTCATTTTCAGACTCATTTTCCTTATTCTAAAAGGATTAATAATCTCAATGACATGGGTATCTGTCTTTTTCTCTTAAACACCCATCTGCTCCACTGTGAAGGTGTTTTTGTCAAAAGTCTCAGTCACCTAAAACCAACCAGCTACAGCTTTGACATCCTGATGAGTCATCAGTGACCCCTTAATAGTCTTGTCACGAGTGTGATGGCTGCTGGGAAGTTTCAGTGCAGCCCGTGCAACAGTTTGTCTGGATGGTTTAATGGTTGAGCTCCTTGATATCGGCTCGAAATATTTGATGCTCTGTTTTGTGCACTGAATCAATTTTGACAAAAGTGGCATTTTTTTCCCCCCCCCCCCCTTTTCCTTTACAATTGCAGACGGTTCATCACCCCCACCCCCCTCTCCACCCCTCCCCCTCCTCCCAACTATCAAACTTGAAATGATGGTTTAATTCCCTGTTTGTGCCCCGTGCAGTTTTGCCAGTTCTCTTTCCTGAATCTATCAAGTGTCAAGAGTAAAATACAGAAACAACTCGCCCACCGCCTTACTGCTGCTCACCTGGTTAGGAACTTGCAGTGAGGATACAAAGCTCGGGTAAAATAACAGTTCTTATTGTGAATCTCCTGATTTATCACCTCTGAACACTGTTTATTTGTTCAGCAAGATGACCACACTGCTGCTAAAGAAACTTGACTGTGAGAATGTACGTGGGCCATATCCTCTGGGCTCTGTTCTACTGCTGATCACCACGTAGCAATTAATATATAAACGAAGCTATACTATCTATTTTATCTCCAAAGTATAAACAATTAAATGGCAAAAGACAAGATAACGAGGATGACAAAAAAAAAAAACCCATGTCGCGAGGGCAGTGGATGGAAAATAAACCAGTTCAGATGAAATAAAAATGAAAATCTTGTCTTTTTTTTTAAAATAATCCTTTTATCAATAAACTGTTCATTATATGGATCTTTTACTGTTATTTCCGTCTGAGTCATGAGTTGTGCCAAGTGTTCAAAACAGAAGCAGCAAAACTTCACGTTGAAATTCACCAAATTTCTCTCAGTGCATCAAAATGATATGAATCTTTTTCAGTGATTTACTGTATAAATTGATATTTGTAGTCTACATATTTCTAAATATAAACCCATATTAAAAAAAAAAAAAGCAACAGCATATCCGAAACTATCAAACCTCTACAGGCTTTTGATAGGTTGTTGCATGTTTTCGTGATTAAAACTCTGATGTGATCTGATCAAGAGAGGATGTCTGACACAACAAAATTAGCTTAATAAAAATGTAATTACTGATCATAATAATGTTATAATAAACTATAAACTGATTATAAGAAGAATTCAAATTTTGCTGCTTACATTTGCTATAAAGGCAGCCTCCTTTCATGGCAATCACAAGGGTGAAAATGAAAATTAATATCATGATTTGAGTGAAACCTTTTGTTCTCGTGAATAAATGAAGACGTTTCGTTATAATAAACACTAACAGGTGGTTTGTCGTAGGAGGCCTTCTCATATTCTATATGAATCTGATTTCTTTTAAAGGAAATGTTGAATAAATTAACGTGTAAGGAATTATATTTGTATGAAAGGAGGATGTGGGCCATCATATTGGCCTGCATTAAATATTCAAAATGACGTGAAAATAGTTTGGCCTGCATGCCACTGGAATAGAAAAAAAAAGGTTTTTACAAAGTGTAAATAAATTTCTAATAACCCACATAAAAGTTTAGCTCATGAAACAACACCAGCCTACCGAAATGGTTCGTTACAGGCCTACAAACTGTAGCTTTTACGCGCAATTACGCACAGACAATTAGGCTCTTTAAAAGCTCATGGGATCTGTGTCCAGCAGCGGTGTTAAAATTTAGAGGCTATTTTTTTTTGTCGAGAGAGGAAGCTTGATGATATTGTTGTGTCCTAAAACGTGAAAACACTCCTTCAAGAACACTGTGAAAAATAATCAATCTAAGACCGTTCTCTTAAGAATCAAAGCAACATCTTGTGAAATTTATTCAATTCTTCTTCATTGCAATATCAGGCTTTTCACTCGCAGAAAAGCACTTAAATTACAACAGCAGTTGCCCGTCATCCTTTGAAATATTAAAATTATTCACAATTTACAATAATTAGAGTGTTACAATAAAAAGAGATGATTTCCAAGAATTAAGACACAGGCTTCTGCAAATGAACACAAATATTTAAAGAATGTGATTTTCCCATATCTTTTAAAGCACTTTCTTATGATTATGACACTTTATCTCATTTTCAAATAACTTACAAGAACCCCAAAAATTATGAGACAATTGAACCAAATACCCCCACGTGAACCTGGCATAACTCTCAACTAAGACTGTGAAGTAATGGACAAAAAGATGATAGCACAATAACCAATATCTCAGCATCATATTCGTTATATAATTCCACTGGTGGCTATTCAAAAAAGCCGAGATGAATATGCTATTTACCCTTCATTTACAATATCATAAACATTCTGTACAAAATGCAGGTAGTTCTCGGGACCGGGGTTATTTAGAAAAGAGGTAAATATTTGGTTATGTGTTCGTTTGCAGTTTTCAATTATTCTGTGAGTTCTAAATGTGTGTTAGAGGGACCGTCCCGTTCACTCCAGCCGTGGCGCTCTGGTAATGCTGCGGCAAGGCATGGAGTCTACTTTGCATTGACGGGTCCCCCGGCTCTCCGGTCGGTAAATACATGCTTATCATCTCTCTCAAGTCTCCGGGGCAAGGACCCCGTGAGTGTGTGCTGCTGACGGGAGGGCTTACACTCGGCTCCGATTTCACCAGCGACCCTAACGTCCCCATGGCAGCTGAGGAGGAGACGCCGGAGCCCTGGTGCTGTGTGTAGGTGATCCCGCCGTAGCCGGAGGGAGAAGCGTTCATGTAGCTCTGAGAGTTCGAGATGGGGCTGTACTGCAGGGCTGTCATGTCGTAGCGGTGCATGGGCTGCGGGTTGTGTGAGTGATGGTGGTGTGAGTGGTGGTGGTGGTGCGCTCCGCTCCCCGGGTGCTGGCTGTAGGCTAGCTGAGCCTCCTGCATCATTGCTGCGGCCGCCGCGGCTGCAGCCACCTGCCCCGAATACGCACCGTTCGCCCAGCCGTTCATGTGCGCGTAGCCGGAGCTGGCTGAGCCTCCGTGACCCCCGGGGCTCTCTAACCTTTGCCCGACCCCCGATGAACTCATGCCGACCCCTAAACCAACTCCACCGCCCCCACTGGGCCCAGAAAGCAGTCCACTGGCAAGGGAATATTTGTCCTTTTTCAGGAGCGTCTTGGTCTTCCGTCTTGGCCGGTACTTGTAATCCGGATGCTCCTTCATGTGCATGGCTCGCAAACGTTTCGCCTCGTCAATGAAAGGTCGCTTCTCAGCCTCGGACATCACCTTCCACTCGGCGCCCAGCCGCTTGCTGATCTCAGAGTTGTGCATTTTGGGGTTCTCCTGTGCCATCTTTCTCCGCTGCCCACGGGACCACACCATGAACGCGTTCATCGGTCTCTTCACCCGTTCCTGATTCGCTTTGGACCCGCCGTTCGGCCCCGTTTGCCCCGTGCTCGTGTTCGTTTGGGGGCCGGGGGAATGAAGGTCAGTTTCCATCATCATGCTATACATTCACCTGGTTTTAAACTTCGCCAGCAACAGAGAAAAAAGTCTATTTTAAGATAGGTCAGGCGCGCACAAAGATCGGGTGCGCACAGGTCGAGTTACAAAATTGATATTCTAACCCCAAATGAATCAAATACGAGATGAAAATTAATCCGAAAAGGGATATAAAATGTTTTCCAACCAGTATTTCACCCTGTCTTCGCCTGGGTTGCTTCACATCCACTGTGATAGAATGCGCATTTGAGCCACTTTCCCTGTCGGAGTTGAGAAGTTGGTTAAAGCGGCGGCCATATGATGCGCACTGACAGCGGTTAAATGAGCCACAAGCGGCCAATGAGGCTCTAGCAGCAGAATGATTTGCATGGCGTTTGGTCAGGTGACTAGAGGACCATAGAGGAAGAACACACCGGAGGAGGAGGAGGAGAAGGAGGAGGCAGAGAGGAGGGTCAATCCCACAAATAGCACAAGGCATTTGAAATTTCCAAACACGCTTTTAGAGACTTCACCTAAACAAAAATAACTAAGATTTGTTAGCAGTGATGTAGCGGCCAAGCGGTGGGTGCAGTCTGCGATTACGATGACTCAAACATCTCAACACATTTTAAAATATATAGCCGACATATAAATGGGAGCCGAATTTTAAAGTAAAGCTTCCGTATCAAGCAGCAGATTGAGTGAAATTATTTCATATTCACTCTCCACTTTCTCTTCATATTCGCGCCTGAAAGTCGAAAACATTTTCTCTCATCTTTAAAAGCTTATTCTCACATCCACTTTGCGTCCGTGGAGCCCGGGCCCGACTGTATTTGTATGCCCTGGAATTACACTACAGTCTATCCAAACCAATTCAATTTCAGACGACTTGATGCTCATCCAGCGGCTCAAAATCTATTTCTCAGACCATCTCTCTCTCTCTCCCTCTCTCTCTCTCTCCCTCCAGGTGTGTAATTAAGGTATGTAATAATAGTAGATGTCAGGGAGTGAAATTACACGCACTCAAGGCAGAAGATGATGTGAAAGAGATTTGGTAAAAAACTGTTGGTCTAAAGAGGAGAAGCCCATAAGGGTGGATAGCCATATAATGACGTGAAATTGCCGGGGCAAAGCGCCGTTATCGCCGTCTGCTGGTGATGGTGAATGAGTCCTGGTCATGCCTCTGAGAGCAGCTCAACGTGGAAAGAAATGCCACATGTAACCTCCTCTGCCTGGACTGTCTCTCTCTCTCTCTCTTTTTTTTTTTTTTTTGTTAAATGTGGCTGTTCCATTTTATGTCTCTTATTTAAGGTGCAGTCAAACAGCCCGTCTGTAAACCACCACGCAGAGGGAAGCGGTCTACGTGTCTTCGAGTCCGCGCATATATAATCCAGATTTCACAGCTGACCTCCTCTGAAAAGCCCAATCAACCTCTAATTGAAAGGCAAAACGAAATACCACTTCCCGCGGCGAGACTAACGATTTAATCATTCTATCGTCCTTTGCTGTTTTTTATTTTAATTAGAGCTTAGCTTGATATAGCTCTCTGCTCCGGGCCTGAGGGAGCGGGATCACTCGGACGGATCCATGCGTCTTTGGTAATGGGGTTAACGGGAGATCACAATGGTCAATAGACGCTTCCAGTGGTCCGGGCCATGTGGCTGAAGGCCCCGAGAAAGATGACAACATAATGATGACAACCCGTGCCAGTGAGCATGGCACCAGAGAACAGACAGAAATAATAACTACTGACTGCACACTTGTAATGAAGATAAGTAAAAAATAAAATTGCACAATATTAACACAAATTCATTTAAAATACGTAGGCTGTAATTTTAAATTCAATAGCCTAGTAAAGATGAATATTTTAACTAAAGCAGCCAGGAACAATACAAGCCAACAGTGATTTTGGCATATTAGTTATTTCAAAATTGACTAAATATATTCACCCTCAAACTTTAGACTGAGAAGTTGATTTTAAAGCACTGACTTCATGTAGGTCTAAATTCTTTAAACAATCTGATCGAGTGATTTAAGAACTGAACGACAATAATCATTTATTATCAGGCTATTGTCATTATTAGTAGTAGGAGTTGTCCTCATTGTGGAGTGGATTTAGGGCTGTACATAGAGGATTAGCCTCTACAGTGACACTGGGACCCCGGTGGTCCCTGTTTACTCTCTCTGACGCCCCCCCTCCATCCCCATCAGTTACTCCTCTTTTAACAAACCTCTTTTGAAACCTCCTCGCTCCTTTGTGCGCGGCCTCTGCAACAGGATGTGTGCACCGCGAAGATGGTACACGACTGGGGCCAAGGGTCAAAGCAATTATCCAACACACACACACATACACTCCCCACCCACAGAACAAATAAATATAGAAATAAGAGGATGATTGTAAATGTAGACAACTATAAGCTACCAGACTCACGTGCAGCGGCCAGTGGGTGTCATTGTGTTTTTTAAATTCTGCCCCCCCCCCCCCCAAAAGTAGTAACTCATGCACACCAAAGTCCCAAAACCCTTGACCCCAGTATCTCGGTTGCCGCCCTTTAATCTTTGAGTTTATGCGTGGCTGTGCGTTTGTGCACAAGCGAGCACGCGTGGATGTGGGTGGTATTGAATCTTGGGGGTGGGATGGGGGGGGGCTGAGGTCACCTGCTGATCACCTGGACACATACAACGGGGTTCACATGGGTCATTTAACCGATCATAAGAGATAGAGAGAGAGTGTGAGAGAAAGACAGAGAGAGAGAGACACAGAGAGAGAGAGAGAGCACCTGTTTGAGAGCTTCAATCTATACACAGCAAAATCTAGAGATGCAATGATCCCCCCCCCCTGGCCCGGCTACTGAAAAGTAAAAACACTAAAACACCGACAGAGTCATGTAACGTAAAAACTGACAGCCACTAACCGCCAGTGTAACAATTCATCCGTCAATAAATACTTCTACGTTTGACATCATGCATCAGATTTTCCTCTTTAATTCAGCCAAAGAGAGACGCAACAGAAACCAACCACTCAGTCCGCAATAGATCAGTAACCGATAATATCGCCTCGGAAAATCAAACTGAGTCGGTTCGAGAGCAACTGGTAGCACCAGGAGCCACAGAGCCGCGCGCTCTGAGCAGCCGAGCCCATGTGGAGCTCACTTGTCCCAACACAAAACGACAGCCCGCAGCTCGGAGCACATGTTTATCTGTACTGAAATGAACGTTGCCAATAAAGACGTTTATTTCAGTATGCGCCGTGAGTGAGATCAGAAAAACCCTCAAGTTCGCTTCACCCCACTAATATTATTTTTTTTCTCCCGGCATTAATTATACTTCGCGTTTTAAACCAAAAACACATTCAACAGACGGGTGAAGTGATAGTGCATGTACAGGTTAAAATATTTATAAACATTTCCTTTTTTTTTTTTTTTTTTTTTTTGGCGTACGGAATTGTCATATGCAAACTTACGCATGTTCCCCTCGTTCCCTCTACTCCAGACCAAGTGGGCAGATTTCTCCCTTCATACTCCTAAAGCCGTCCTAAACCCTCCAAAGCTTCATGTAAGACCGCTACTCCCACTACAGTCTGGCCGCTCGAGTGCCAAGGCCATCCATACCCGGTGCCCAAACCCACTACTCAACACATACTGAGGGGCAGAGACAAGAAGAAATGACATTTATTATACACTCTAAAAAAAGACAATTCCAAGTTATTGTTTCTCTCTGCGAAAGGGGCTTGCTTCTATCATAATGAAGCGTCTTTTGTGTGGCACAGAACAATACAAAACAAGTATTCTAATAAATAGCCACTTTTTTTTTTTTTTTGGCTCTCCAGGATGAATGGGCTGGAGCGGCGGGGTTCTGAAAGGCAGCTGTGCCGCATTGGCGGAGGAGGGGCGAGGACTTGGCGAGGAGCCCCGCACCCCCTTCCCTCCTCCTGGATACTGACTCCCATTACTGATCCTGGAACAGAAAAGGATGCAAAAGGGGGGGGGGGGGGGTCAGCAGGGGAGGGAGGGAGGGAGGGAGGGGAGGGGGGTGACTTTGGAGGCTGTTTTTACTCAAGACATACACCGTTTTCAACAATGTGATCCTGGAATCATCAAATATTGGTTCATACTGTGAAGTCCACAGTGTCCAATTAGATTCACTTTATATGAACCTGCACAGCTTGCAAGCATGTGGTTCTGACAGCTTCTAGGTGGGGACACATCTACACACACACACACACACACACACACACACACACACACACACACACACACACACACACACACACACACACACACACACACACACACACACACACACACTTTGTACAGCACACATTCAATACTATAAAACACCGCTGGGCTCATTAAACATTTCGTATTTAAACACAGGTCAACAGTTTTGAGATTCAACACTGTCAGTGTCTGTTTCAGAAACACAAACACAAACTAAACCCTGTTGATCGCCTCACAGACGACTTTCTTCTCAGTTTGGAACTCTCGTCCCCTACGCTCTGTGAGCAGAGCCTGGTTGCGCAGCTCCTTCAATGTAAAAGAATCAGACACACTGCTGCTGCTGCTGCTGCTGACTCCTTCTTTTGCCTGTTGCAGAGTCCTGGCTTCGGGGCTGCCAGAGCTGACAGACTCCCTGACTTAAAGCTGCTGTAGCTGGCAGGTGTCTTTGCTGCTTCACACGTCCATCTGCTTACTTGGGGAGCCAAGGTGAAAAATTTGTGGGTGTTATAAAAGTATTTTCTTGGCTTTCTATTGTTTAGGAACAAGAAGTGGCAACGATACAGATGCTTAGAAGTGAGCATTCATTGCTGTATAATGACTTTGTGAGATTAAGTGGACAAACAGTTTGCAAGCATTTGGTTGTCCATTTCCTAATGTCGCCTACAAAAATCTCTCATTTTAAAGTGAGACTAAAAATATGCCTTAAACAGAGGGGTGTCACCTTTTAAGATCGACTGTTATTCCCTGACATACAATGTCATGATAACACTTGTTGTAGTTCTTGGCTTAGACTCAATAAGCCAGTGGTGGATAACCAACCTTTTCATTTACTTTCTGTCTGGCACAAAGACAGCCTCGCTGCAGATTAAAACAACTTCTACGTCCTGTCATTTTCAATGATTCACCAGAGATTACTCTGTCACTTTGTGAGATGTACTGCATCAAATAAGTACTGCACGTAAACCATACAAGCAGGAGATTGACACAAAGTGGTAAACCTGAGTAAAAAGGGCAATGTTGAAACTATTCGGGGGGGGGGGGGGGGGGGGGGGGGGGGGGGGGGGGGGGGGGGGGGGGGGGGGGGGGGGGGGCCCAAAGAATATATGAAGTGAGAGAGCGAGAGAGAGAGATCAGGTCAGGTTCAGGCCTGAAAGCGTTGAGGGAAGAGTGAGCCAATTGGCTAAAAGCAGAGGTCTTAGCTCAGTTCATTTGGGCTCTCTCTCCAACACACTATCTCCATAACAACACTCAAATACACAAAGACCTCAAAAACAGCAAGAGGCAACAACAGACAAACATTACAAAAAGCCGAGGGATTGATACTCCCCAAAAAATGAAGTATCATTTGCTTTTAGACCTTCTCCTAAATGACTGATGATGATGAATGATGATTTTGAATTTATGGGGAGACAAGAAAGCACTGAAAACTATGAGGCAAACACTTGTATAAGAGGCATGTGATCTGTTATGTTTTCAGTTGTACTTCCACATTTCCAAAAGAAGAGAATATAAGACAACTCTATTTTCTACCAAAGTGGAAAATTGTCTTTAGTTCACCAGGACATGAAAGCAGCATATGATGTGTAAGACAATTAAGGTGACAGGACAGTATCAGAATGTGAAACGAGATTTAGTAAATTAAAAGTTTCGATCAAATGATAAAAACAGTGTCAGATGTCAAAATGTAAAATTAGATGCTGTGGAATATGAGCTCATATTTTGTATAAATGAACGGTCAGCTACGTGGCTGAAGATCAAGTGTCGAGAATATTTCAAGTTAGCAACGGCTAAATATGCTGGACTTACTAATGCCTTTTAAAAAAATAACATGAAATCCTTATTGATTTAAGAGCGGGACGGTAACCCCAAACTGCCAAACTAAAAGTGCGATTTTTCACAAAGAGAGCATAACATGCCATTCAAATCTGGGGCACTCTTGTCTACAAGCAATTTGTTCTTTTGTTGCTCCATGTGCTCTATTTTCATCTTCTTCTCTTGTTAGAATCGCACGAGACGAGCATATAAGGGCTTGATGGAGTGGTGAGTCAGAGACAGGATGACATGAACAAGTGAGAAGGAGAGGAAGAAAAAAGGAGAGAGCAGTGAGAGAGGGAGGGAGAGAGTAAGACCAGGGAGGCCAATGTCAATCCCACAGCAAACAGCAGTGGATAATCATGGGCTTTAGGAAAACACTGTGTCCATAATGCTATTACCCAGGATTACCTACTCCAGCAGAGAAGGCGAGACTCTCTTCACAATGTGCCACAGACCTTTCAGATAATCATCTTATCACAGATGACAAACTCAGAAGAAACATCCCATTATTCAAGAGGGGGGGGGGAGGGGGGGATCTACAGCATGTTTGGATGAAGACATATTGTAAGCCTAAATTATTCGAGTGAAAAAATATCAGATTCTGAAATTAGCACGCCAGTCGCTTCCTCACTCTCTCACTGTCTCTTTCTCCCAGGGCGCTTTCTCCTTTTCCCGCAGGGCAATTAGAGACAAGATTTTATGCATTGTTCAGCTTATCAATTAGCCATAACACCTTCCCCTCTGATTGGTCTGTAATGAACATAATGGTTTTAACAGTCAGGAGTTGCAACTCTTAGAGGTGCTGTGCTAATGGTGTCGCCACGGCGATGGAGTCACAGTAACAGCTCTGCGGAAAAGCAGGACGGAGGAGGAGGAGGAGAGTGGGGGGCGGGGGGTGTGGGGGGTAAGTCAGCTCTCCCTAACACATCTCTAATTAGAGCTCACAGTCAGTCATTACTGATGTAATAGGGTGTAACACTAATGGCTATCAGGCAAGCCCCCACAAACAACAGAGGGGGGCTCTTGTAAGGTGAGAGGAGCAGAAAATTTATGGAGGAGGAAAAAAAAAGAAAAAAGAAAATCGGGAGATTATGGTGAGGAGACCCGGTATAAATGGAAAGTTGTGGTGTGGAATGGTGGTGGCGGTGGGGGAGTCAAAGAGTGAGGCGAGTGATTAGAGGAACGTGTGCCTTGTGGTAGATAAGGTTTTTAAGTACAGTAGTCAGACAAGGTCAGGCCCTATTAATGGAACATCTTTCTTGATGGGGAAATCTGTTAGTTAGACCCTGGTCAAATAAAGAGACTGACAGGACAAAAAGTGGATAAAAATTAAGGGGGTATGATGAGCGGCTGGCTGGTTGAGGGGAGGCAGAAGACAGAAAGAGAGCCAGAATGACTGTGAGGGAGGAAGGCAGTGAGACAGAGTCCTAGTTAACCACTTTGGCACTTAGACCTTGTTAGCACTGATGCACTCTGTGGCCCATTCAGCTAGTGATGCATGTTTTTACACTTTTCAGCACTAAATTGCTGCGGCTGTAGCAAAACAGAGTGACAGAGGTAAAGATAAGGAAGGTGGATGAGAGGAGACCAACACTGGAAGATATGGAAAGAAAGCTATGCATTCTCCTCACCGTCGCTGGGAAAGAACCAAAGTTTGATTATCGGGATGAATTACATTACTTTGTTAGTAATAATAGTTATATTATTTATTTATTATTTATTATTATTAAGTAATAGTTAATAGTTATTAATAGTTTAGAATGGCCTTATTTTTGTGTAGATGGGGAACTACTGTACATAACACAATGCCTGTAGTTTCATTGTGAAGGGATATAATGCATTCGTTGTCAGAGTTCTGTTGTCCGACTTTCTTAGCGGATATTTAAGTGGACCAAGTTACCCTGAATACACTGTCCTTGTGAGTTTACTTTAATCTATCTCACTAACAGTTAATGCCAAGAGTAGACTGTGTTATAATATAGTTACTTTTCATGGAGAGGTTTTCAATGTGGATATGGTGCGTATGAAAAAGGGGCATTAATGATTGATTTCCTGTGTGGTAAGAACCAATGATGTAAACAGCATGATTTTAAATGGCGGTGTACACCGGTGTATCGGTTTTCACGCCAACAAGACATTATAATCATTCTTCACAACTGTCATCAAAACAACTTACTAGGGATGACCAGACCAAAAGTATTCCTACAGTTGGCTATAAGAAAAAAGAAACTGTTAGTTCAAGTCATTAGTCACATATTCATGATATCAATTTAATTATTATAATTATAATCAATTTTGGGGTTCTGGAACTGAGAAAGGATGTGAGAAGTAGCATGGCTAACACACAATACAGAGAAATACAAAACTGTAATAATAAACTTTTAAAATATAAATTATATAAAAGCACGAAGCGAGCCGCCTGTTAACGACACCGGAAACAGCGGTAATGATTCTGAATGTGTCGGAACAACCAGCAAGGAAACTGAACATTTTGTTGTTTGTTCTATCACAATATAGAGAGAAATGCACAAACGAGGT